CTGCACCCCCACGCTGGACATCAATTCAGGGTTCTTAGAGAAAATCTGGTCCAATCTGAAAGCACTGTTTGACTCATCTTGGATCGTCACTTACCTACTCCTGACAGGCATAATTATTCTTCTCTTTCTACTTCTTAAATGCCTTGTTCTTCATTCCCGCAGTCAGAAAAAATTCAATCACTCGGTGTATCAGGCCGTCAGAGCAATACACAAAGATGATTTCAACCCACCCTATACAGCCCAACAGACTTGGCTTGCACAAATGTACAAGGCCTCCTACAGATAATTCCCCACCTCGACTGATCCCCTGGGACAATACCCCTTGGAGGGCTGGTAGTGAATGACGGGTAAGCTCCTGTTGGGCTGAATCAACCTAAGCCAGGACATGGAAGTGTATGCCCATGCTCCAATGAGGGGTAAGGTTCATGCCCGAATAGGACAACCTAAGACAGGCACAGTCCATGATCCTGGGGTCATCCTGAGGCGGAGCTGCCTACAGGCTCTCGCTGAACAGTCATTTTTAAAGAAAAAGGGTGGAAATGTAGCAGGAGGCCTCCAAAGATGGTGTGAACCCAGAGCCCTGGGATTCAGCAAGAATTTACTTCACTTCTTGGTCCGCAAATAGCCTGCCAAAAGGAGCCCACGCCTCCGTCCTGCTCGTGAGCCCAGTGACTGCTGACAGACTGCGTGGCATAGACCAGTCAGAAAATGATACGCTGACTAAAGGGAGTTGGGGGCGGAGAAAAGGGAAATATAAGGCCTGCCCCCTCCTGCATTAAACGAGCCTGCAGCACCTCACCTAGTGCTTGCTTCTACCCGACTCCTGGGGTCTGTGTTGACTCTGTGCCTCTTGCCCCTCCTAATTGGCAGGGGACCCGATCCAGGTCAGGGTCTTCACAGCTGGCCTGAGGAGAACCCACAACACATGTGTATATCATTCTAAGCCACATTATGGTTATACCTGAATAAACAGCATGAATCTTAGCAGTCATTTTAAGGTCAAGAGTGAATCCAAACTCTGAGAACCTGTTCCTTCATATGTCTCCCTGAACTTTGGCTCTCAAGCCAGGCTTCACTTTTTTATTAAAACAGGATATCCAGCATGAATTGGGGAAGTAGAGGCAGGAGCCCACCCTTATCTTGTCAGAGAATCCTTGCCCTTTGATCCCCATGTATAGAATATCTCACACACAATTACAAGCAGACTTCTCAATTCTTCTCACTGTTTCTGATGAAAAAACATGCTGCTTCCAGCCCTTTAATAGGATAATCAGGCATACCCACATTCATTTACTCTCTCAGGTAGAGGGCAAAAAGTGGGGTCATGAGGGATTAAGGTCAGGGGCCCAGGTCACAAGAGGAGCAGATGGCTCAGTGAGTTTGTTTACATTATAACTTTATGGTTGCAAGGTTAGGTAAAGTCATTGGTCCAGATTATGTCCATATTATAAAAGTCATTCCTACACATCACCTGCTCTCTGCATTCTGAGCCCAGACAGCACAGGTCCCATGCATATACAGTCCCATCTCCTGGCCACATATCCTCAGGTGCAGTAGATGGCAGTCAGAGTTGGCTCGAGGCAGACTTTACAAGCCAAGAATAAAATTACACTTTACTTATGTAGGTTGAAAGGAAAAGACATTCATTTTTGAACCAACATCAATCACAAAGCTTGGAACAGTGATGTTTTGATGAAATTCCCACTACTTAGTTAAGGTCATAGCTCTGTAAGGGTCAAAGAGCAAAGCACTGTGTCCCCTTACTCCACCAGAGTAAATCCAGCATCTAGAACCATAAAAGGTGCTCAGCAAACACATGCTACAAGAATGAAAAGTAAAATCAATGTGTTAGTACTTGGTCAAGAAAGATTTGATTAGTTTATGTAGTCATTAATCATACACATGATAGAAGCTAAAGTTTGTTTGGCTTTTTGTTTGTTTTGTTTTGAGACAGGGTCTCCTGTAGTCTAGACTGGCCATAGACAATGATGTACCCAAGGATGACCTTGAACTCCTGATCTTCCTACCTCATCCTGAGTGCTAGGATTCCAGGTGTTTTGTAGTTTATAACCTTCAGTTAACATCAGATTAGGATATGGTTATGCATAATGCAAATATAATCCACATGATAACCATTTAGTGACACAAATGGTTGGTATGACAGATTTTAATAGTGAACACGAGTGTAACACACATCTGTGTGTTATGATGTGAGGTAAAGCTATCTGCCACTCTGGGAATCTTTTCTGTCACTAGGATGCACACAGAACTCCAGCCAACCACTTTTTATCACCAGCATAGTCAGCAGCTCACAAAATGCTTTAATGCATATAATCAGATTTGGTTCTCACAAGAGAGAGGAAGGCAGCTACAGGAAATTATCTTACTTCTCTTTTGTAGGAAAATATCGAGTAGCTTCTGAAATATAATAGTTGTTGAGAGGCTTTCTGGATGATCATTAAGAGTAACAATTCAACAGATCACATGGAGAGAGTGAGGAAAGACGCACTCTGCAGTCAAGAAAAACTGAAAGGAAGCATCTGTAACAGCAACTTCCATTTACTGGGACGAAGACAGACATATTAGTCAACCTGAGGCAGAGAATGGGATTCTAAAAGATTAATAATGAGACACAGGAAGTGAGTAATGAGCCTCCGGCTTCGATGGTCTAGCTTAGCTCACTCCAGAGACATTACGGCTGTACTTACCATTCATATTTTACTGTGTTGCCTGGAGTGGTTCACTTCTAAGTAGCTATAGCCCTGGGGAGGCTGTGCAGATGCTGAGAAGATTCCAAGAAGCCTGCATCGGGGGAAGGTGAGTACCACGTGGACCCTCCAGTCAGCCCCAGATCTTTCCTTGTAACATAATGCTTCTTGTTCCTCTCCTTGCTTCCCTGGAAGCCTGTAGAATATTTCTGTTTCAACCATCTTTAAAGTGAGGTGGTACATTTGTAAAGTGCTTTATAGTTTCCCTTGTTTTTCCTTCTCTTTAAATTAATGCATGACCCTTGATAGAATGTTTTCCAACGATGTGTTTCCAAGCATCTTGCTTTGGCCAGTGTTTTACTTATTATGGTAGAAAGCAGAAGAAATACAGAGAAAAAGACTTCACTGCCCCTTCCCAAGGGAAACTGTTAGTAATTCAGTGTGAAATCAGCAGGCTTTTTCTCTGTATGCAGTTAATTAATTAGGCAATGACTTTTAAATACCTCTGCCCTAGAGTTGAGACAACTATTTCACCCCAAGCAGCAGAAAGCATGGCATGGCCAATATATGACCCTTACCAGATTTTAAAAAGAATTCAGCTTCATACTTTATTTAAACACAGTAAGTAATGCTCCAAAGAAATGTTTTAAAAATTGATGGGAGGGAAGAGAAAAATAGCCCATCAGTATTTGAAACTAGCTTTAGCCAAAGCTACCAAAATTCTGGGAACAGCAATGCTAAGAGAGTTCTAGCTGTCAAAATTTGAAATAAAATCTATAGGGGCCAAAAAGTTCCAAATGAAAACGTGGTCAGACGCACTGCTGGTGTGGACTTTCAGCTGACTCAGTCAAATGCCAGAATAGCAATGTCTGTCTCAGATAAGCTTTCTTTCCCAGCAGCCCCCTCCTGCAGGATGTTTCTTTACGCTTCTCTAAAAGGGAATGAAGCTGCCATTGACAGCTCTGTTGGCATCGCAAGAGGCACCAAAGCTCTTCGACTTCTTAATCTCTGCATCCCACACTTAGAAATGCTGTATCTTGCTGTTTAGAAAGAACTCCTCCTGTTCTGAACGTTTACAAGTCACCCATTTGAAGCTTGTCTTATATTTTCCCACAGAGATGAGTCTAAGTGGATTGTTGAAATTCCTAAAGCAGGCCCACCCATCAGATTGCTGTGAAGTGTCTGATTGTGTGGGCTGTGGAAATGGAAGATTTTGGACATCATTGTCTTTAAGAAATGGTTCCTTTCAGTGTTCTTATTTAGGATACCTGGAATGTGGTCCAAATCAGGGGGCTAGGAACTCCTATCCTTGATCTTTTCTAGCACCTGAGGCGCTGGAAACCTGGCACAAAGACAGCCAAAGTGCAAGCACTTGAGGCTGGTGAAGAATGGTGTTGTGATGCCCCCACAAATGAGCCTCCCTTAGAACTCTCCCGCCTGTCTCCCTATGGTGTCTATCCAAGACAGGTCCTAGAATACTAACTGCTCATCTAAGGCTCAAGTGTAACCACCGGTTTCTTTACTTCTCTTTTCCTATGCATTTGGGGGAATGAGTCTCCATTTCAAAAAGTGGAAAACTGTCCCTTGGTTTTAGGAGTTGGAAAGCAGGGTAGGAGCCATAGCCTCCATTATAGAAGCAGACAGGGGTCACACAAAGCTTGCAGTCACTCACATAATGAGACAGGGTCTAGTATACAGGACTCTGCAAGTCCTCTAGATTTAAAGATAGTCTCCCTTTGGGTTCTTGTAGTAAATAGTACTATAATCCTTAAAATAAAATGTGTCTATACTTTTGGTACACAGGAAAGAGAGAGTAAAGACATCTGAACTTGCAGACATGCAGGTTCTTAGGCCTTACTGACTCAGAAATTTTGGAATGGGGCCAGCAATGTGTTCCACAGGCCCTTCCATGTGGTCCAGTGATCATGTGCAGTGAAGTTCCAGCTATGCAGCAAGTAAGGAACAGGCATCTTTGATACTCAGGCTCTGGTTCTTAACAGCTGAGTAAGTGTGAAGGTGTCAGTGTTTCTGGGTTTATAGAGAGGATTAAATAAGATAAGGTATTTGAATCACCGAGTGCATGCTAGATTTTGTTAGTCAGCTTTCCATCACCATAACAAAACACCTGAGATAATTAACACAGAGAAAAGGTTATTCTGGCTCACACTTTTGGAGATTCTAGTCTATGATTGATTGGCCCCATTGCTTTCAGCCTTTTAAGCCAATTCTGCCCCATTTTCCTTCATGCAAATGAACGGGCAACACAACTACAGACAAAGGTTCTTTCTCATCCACATCATGATTGGAGCAGGTAGCAGAGCAAAACCATGGGAGCAAAGAGAGGAAGAGGAAAAGGCTGTGATCCCACAGTCCCTCTTGGATTAGGTCAATGACTTAAGGACTTCCCACTAGGCCTGGCCACTTAAAGTTTCTACGACCCCTAACAGTGTCACCCGATGGGCCTGGGGGGCATTCAACACCCAAATTATAGCAAGGACATGTAGAAGGCACTCAGTAAGTGCTAGAAGTTAAGGTTGCTATTACATATGAGGGGAAAGAAAAGGTGTCAGTCCTTAAGACTTTCAGCAAGTTAACATAGCATTCACCATCTCTCAAAGGGCCACCTTGACTCTGAGACTATGCTCCTGAGGACACCAAAGGTCAAACACATTGTATGTGATCCCATCCATAACAAAACAGAATAGTAGTTCTCAACCCCAGCCAGTCATCAGAATCTTCATGGAGCTTGTACATGGCCTTAGCCTAGACTTTCAATATCCAGTGGGAGAAACTGGTGACTATAATTTTCTTTAGGTGAATGCTAAAGAAGCTGCTGGAATCAATGATAACAATAGTTAAAGCTAATATGTATTATTTGTACCTAGGACTATGTTAGGATCCCCCCCTTTTTTTTTCTTTAATTTTGAGACTTGGTCTTGTTATGTTGCCCGGGCTGGACTTGAACTTGCAATCCTCTTGTAATCAGCTTACCAAGTGGCTGAGAGTATAGTATAGGCCTGAATACCACAGAAAGCCTATGAGGTAGGTATTGTTTCCATATTTAACAAACGAGGAAAAATGAGGTATTGGTAATCTATATACCACCAAGTTCACAGAACTGAGAAGTGGTTCTGGATCGGAGTGCAGGTTTGAGCTAATAAATGCATATCACTGCTGCAAAAACTAAGGCAATCATTTACCTGTTCTTCCAACCTGCCTCTATTATGCATGACCAAGTAAAACTCTAAGAGCTGAGAAATTTAAAAATGAATATAGATCCCCGTCTCAAGACGCAGATGCTCTAGAGTGAGCAGGAAAAGTTAGAGGCAGATGGGCTGGCTTCGTTTTAAAAGACCATGTCATGTGTCTCCTGTCTCCCTCTAGGAGGCTGAAAACATTTGCTACTTCCTAGTAGCCTCCTCCCCCATAAAGGCCATTTACTGACTCCATCTCAGTTGGCACATCAGCCTCTGAGAATGTGAGGATCAGGCATGCAGGTCAGCTGTCAACGCTCCCAGCAGTCCCAGGGGCATCCTTGCAGCAGGAGTTAGCAAGTGGTGAGAGCTGGCCTCTGTTCTGCTGAGTTCCTTTCATTCAGGCACCTTGTTACTCTGCTGTCAACCGACCAATCAAATCGTGGCTGCGCTTGTTGGTGGAGCTGGTAGGTTGGATCTCATCCCGAGAGAGAGCACATCATTCACACTAAGTGACAGCTATTCTGAAATTTCTCAGAAAGATACAGAAAAAACTTGCTTTTTAGAATCGTGGCACGTTAACAGGGGCCAGATCCCTTGGATACAGTGTAAGGTTAATCAGGAAACTGAGCCCCGGGCTCCGAAATCCAGGCTGGAGCTGTCTTCCCCGCTCCATCTGTGAGCCCTCACTGCCTCCTAGAGTCAGAGCTGAGCATTCTTTCAAGTAGACAAAACACTTAACTGAAGTCCAGCGAGCATCATCTTGCAGAAGGCTAGTGATCTCGTAGGACGCCAACAGCGAGGGCAGCGGTCCAAATTTTCCTCTCAGCAGTCGCTGACAGTATCAGGGAATAACGCCGGACTCCGGACTCGTCTTCTAGATGCACAGGGAAGGCAGCTGCGGAACCTTTCTTCGCTCCCCATTGCGCTCCCACCCGGGCCTCTTTGGTGATGGACACAGGCGTGAAGCCTTTAAACATGGAGACCGCGGGCTCTGGACCTAGGGAAGCTTCTGCGCTGGAGGCTCCCACGGCCTCGAACGATCGGCTCTTCCTGGTTAAAGGTATGGTTGCCCCGCGCTGGAATAGGATTTTCCCATTCACATTTCCGTCCCAAGAGCTCTTCTTCCTGGACTCAGCTACGCCACTCATTCGGGTATGTCCCGCGGTCTGTTCCTGTTCTTCAGGGCCTGCACTATTCTCTCCTGTCCTGCCTCTTCTGATTGCTGATTTCCTGCTGTGGAGAAACTCGGCGCTGCTGTCCTGGGGGAAAGGGGAGGGGAAATGGCGCCCATTTACAGCCTTGAGAACCATACCTCTGATTGACCCCAGGAACCAGAGGTCGTGAGGTCACGCAGGTTTGACAGCCCGGATCTTTTATCTTAGGCAAAAACTACTTACCCATATTTCGAATGTTGACTGTAACTTTAAAAGTAGCTGAGACTCACTTGTGCACACCTTTATCATTTAAACGTTTAATTTTTAATCCCTTCTCCCAATTCTTGGCAGGTGGAATTTTCCTTGGTTCTGCTGCAGCAGCGGGAATGCTAGCTGGATTTCTTACAACATTATCATTGGCTAAAAAGAAAAGTCCTGAGTGGTTCAATAAGGTTTGTGACTCTGAAATCCATTCATAGCATCGTTATTGTTTGCAACAAATAGCTTTTTCATAGGAAAAGTAAATTATTGATGACCTCTTACATTCTTTTTTAATATTTTATTATTTTATGTGTATGAGTGTTTTGCCTGCGTGTATCTAAGTGTACCCGTGTACCCCTGTTGTGCAATGTCCAGGGAGGTCAGAGGAGGGTGTTGGATCCCCTGGAAATAGAGTTATCGTCAGTTGTTAGTTGCCATGTGGGTTCTGGGAATCGAATCCCAGCCCTCTGGAAGAATAGCAAGTGTTCTTAACCTCTGAGCCATCTCTCCTGCCCTTTTACATTCTTTTAAGAAACAAACCTGTATACACCTCATGGATTTAAGGAGTACAATGCCAGGTGTGGTGGTGCACACCTTTAATCCCAGCACTTGGGAGGCAGAGGCAGGCGGATCTCTGTGAGTTAAAGGCCAGCCTGGTCTACATAGTGAGTTCCAGGCCAAGACCCTGTCTCAAAAAGACAAAAAAAAAAAAAAAAAAATTTATGCAAGTTAGTTGACAGCCTTGATTTAATTATGTGCTTTCTTTAAATTAACAGAACAAGACATTGACAGCTTATCTATTACATTTCCTACTGATAGCATGACTAAGTAGTTGTTCTTGATAAGAAACCCCTGGAGCCGGAGAGATGGCTCAGCAGTTAAGAGCACTGGCTGCTCTTGCAGAGGACCCAGGTTCGATTCCCAGCACCCACATGGCAGCTAACAACTTTCCATAACTCCAGTTCCGGGAAATATGATGACCTCCAAGGGCATTGCATGACACGGGTGTACTCATATACATGCAGGCAATGCACTCATACACATAAAATAGAAGTAAATAAAATTAAAAAAAAACAGAAACTCCAAGTATTTAATGTGCTATTTAGAAGGAAAAATCAGTGCCAGCTAAACTGTTAATGCTGGTTGCAAGAAGCATCTCTTCTTTCAGAGATGCTAAAATAAAATTCTTTAGAATGAGTGAAAAGCATATCTATTTCTTGAACACAAGAGCCAGACCTGTTCAGCTTCAGTCACTAGAAAAGTACCTGGCACATAGTGGGTACTCAGCAAACTTTGGTTGAATGACCATAACCTACTTAAGACAGAAAATCCATATTCTGTGAATGAGACCATCATGTACTGCCTTCCCTAGTTGATGAGAAATTTTCTTGATTTTATTAAATGTTTGTGTTTCAAACACTATACTATTTGGGTGGAAAGGATACAAAAATTAACAGTAAATCTCCCCCTCAGGAACTTAAAATGTCTGTTGTGAGAGATCATACTAAATATTCACATAACTATGTAATTATACTTTGATATGTGTTGTGGAAGAGTGGTATCATGGAAATCATAAACAGTTGAATTCTCTTTCTGCTTATCTGTAGTCATCGTAAGTAAGCTTTATGAGTACAGTGATGACGAGACCATATTTAAAGTGCATTTCAGTTCCCTCTGAATACTCTAAGGGTTTATGGAGCTACCCAAATTACTGCTATGGATCTAGTGGGTCATTTTCTGTATATATTATGCAATATTTTTAGAGCACAAATTTATTTTGTGGCAGATACCATTAAGACCTAACTGATTTTGGTACTTTTAACAGTCAAATTTTGTTTTATTTTCAAGCCAGAGTTACTATATTAACCCTTGGTCATGGATCTGCTTAAGAATCTGATGAAACTAGGGATTCTCTCTCATACACATACTGACAATTTTGCACTTTATTTTTTGTTCTGAAATTTGATCATTACACATGCCATGTGTAATCCAACACAGTTTTTGAACTGTGGTTCGCAGAACCCTGATGATCTTTGAGACATTTTTGTGGGTCTCTAAAGTCAGAACTGTTTTCCTGTTAATACATGCACTGATGGCACAGGGCTACGGGCAGAAAACTGTTGTGTACCTTAGTGTCATCTTTGCGGTGGATAAAACCATACTTGTAGTCATCGTGTCCTTCCTTACAGCACGCCAGGTAGTTTAAAATATAAAAAGAAACTGGCATTATGTAAGGATGTCATTGTTGAAGCAAAGATTATTAATTTTATTCAGTGATGACACTTGAATATATCTTTCTTTCAAATTCACATGAAGTGGGAAACATGCATGAAGCATGTCTGCTTTATTCTGAAGTAAGATATTGTTCTCTAGAAAAAGCAACTGAATTGCAAACTGAACTAGCCACATTTTCCCATGGAGTAACATTTTTATTGAGGGAATGGATGGACAGACTCAGTTATTCAGAAGTGGGCATTTGGCAGACATTTCCTTTAAAAATGCAGAAAGTGAGCCTGTCTCTTCAAGAAGGCGATTGTCAATCCTTGTTGCCACTGATAAGCTTTCAGCTGAAGGTACTTAAACTCATGTCCCTTGATCTTGACAACTGTTCAGTACTTAGCAGATTTTCTAATGAGATGCTATGATTCTAATGATGATTTTTAAATACTGTTCAGTACATGATGTCTACAGTTGAAAGAGCTGTATACTTTAGTAAACCAGTATCTTCTGAATGATTCTGCATAGAATAGAGTTCAAAGTGCAAAATCAACTCATGGATTTTAATGTTACAAATAAAAGAAAAATTAACTGATGGGACTGCAGGTTCCCTATGGCAACTAACCTTCGAAAGCCTATTTGTTTGAGAAGATAGTTAATCGAATATAAAAACATTTATAGTAATATAATGGATTTAATATTTTTAAATGAATAAAGCATAAATTTCTTAGCTTTAAGCTTTAATTTCTAATACATTAATTATTGATAAAACCCATATAATGGAGCATCTTTGGAGCCCAGGTATAAAGACACATTCACTGTTCTGCATGGCCAAATATGTAAGTTTGCCATCTCCCCCTACCCCAACCCCAGGGAGAAACATTAGAATTAACACATCGCCACTTACCAGACTTTGTTTGTTTGAAAGACTAAATGGTCTGAACAACTCGGCTTCTGGAGCATACAGCTAATGAGTTCATATGGAGCAAGCACCTGTACAAGTGTCATTTAGGCAATGTACTTCAAAGTCACCATCTTGGAGGTCTTCCCTCACATTGGCAGTAGTAGTACCTAGTATCTGGCTGCTTACTATGTGCTGGCTGCTCCTCCAAAAAATTTATTCATTTAACACATACAGCCCAGTGAGGCACTGCATGCTGCTCCCACCAAACTGTAGGATTCCAGGGCACACAGAGATTAGCAGTTTGCTTAACATGGTGCTCTATTTTTTCTAGGGAATAAATGATTCTTCTTTTACCAGTATTATTATTTAAATGACCTGTGTATACTAGCCTAGGGACAAATTCAAATTTCAATCCAAAAGGACTTTCAAATGACCACCTTTTCATTTGGGGACTGTCTATACTTTTTCTGTTTCAAGAAGATAACAATTCCCTTAGTGCTTTATTTTCTTTGCTGAGTCTTTTGCTACAAAACTGAAAATTGCCGGGTGTGGTGGCATATGCCTGTAGTCTCAGCACTTGGGAGGCACAGGCAGGCGGATCTCTGTGAGTTCAAGGCCAGTGTGGTCTACATAGTGAGCTCTAGGCCAGCTGGGGTTACAGGGAAACTGTTTCAAAAAGACCTATCAAGTTCTAGGCCAGAAAAAAAAAAAAAAAAAAAAAAAAAAAAAAAAAAAAAAACCCAAAAACACAAAAAACCTGAAAATTGGCAATGAATCGTAAGTAAACATACTTTATTTTGTAATTTCTTAAATAAAGAGAAAGGGGAGGCCAGGTGTGGTGGCACATGCCTTTAATCCCGGTACTTGGGAGGCAGAGGCAGGTGGATCTTTGTGAGTTCAAGGCCAGTCTGGTCTATCTAGTGAGTTCCAGGACAGCTGGGGCTACAGAGAGACCCTGTCTCAAAAAAAGACAAAAAAAAGAAGAGGAGGAGGAGGAAAGTGCAAGCTAAGGTTGAAAAATAATTCACTCGAGTTTCTTTGATCTGTTAAAAAAAAGTATACATATATATGTGTATATAATATATATATTTCATTGTTAGGAAAAGACCCCAGGGTTATCATGCTAGATAAGCTTGCTACCACTAAGCTATAGCCCATTTCTCCCTAAGATTATTTTTAATGGGTACTTTTTGTACACTGTTTTTTTTGTCTTTTTGAGACAGAGTCTCCTTGTAGCCCCAGCTGTCCTGGAATTCACTATGTAGACCAGGCTGGCCTCAAACTCACAAAGATCCACCTGCCTCTGCCTCCCAAGTGCTGGGATTAAAGGCGTGCGCCACCATGCCCAACTGTACACTGTTTTTTTTTTTTTTTAAATACTTTTATTTTATGTGTATGAGTGTATTGCCTGCATGTGTGTAAGTATATCTGTGTTGTGCAATGCCCGTGAAGGTCAGAAGAGGGCATTGGAGCCCCCAGGAACTGGAGGTATGGACAGTTGTTAGCCACCATGTGGGTGCTGGGATTTGAACCTGGGTCCTCTGCAAGACAGCCAGTACTCTTAACCTCAGATCCCATATGCTGGTTTTATAACATGATTATGAGACTAAATGAAGTGCTGTCAGTGAAAATCATGTGCATGCTATGTGTCCATTTGGTTAAAATAGTTGAATAAAATACAGAATTAAGTGTATGTACCCATATAGATTATTTACCTAAGTAAGCAAGTTGAGATGACTCAATTGTCAGTGCCCTGCTTATCTTAATATTCTGGCATGGCAAATTCATCAAATAACTGTGTTCTTCCAGACCGTTTTATGTAATGAGTAGGATAAAAGGGGAAGTTGCCGTTCACCATTTTGATATAGCTTTAACTCTGAGAAATTAAAAAATAGAGTGCATGTTATAAAAAATTTCTTTTGTGATGTAAATACAATGAAATATTGATCAGATTAGAATGTAGGGAAATAACTAGTTGAATATTCTTGGTATATGTAAATGCTCATTGGGGGGAGGGGTGCATATATGTGCTAAGGCCAGAGGTTGATGCTGGGTGTCTTCCTTGGTCTCTGCCTCATTTTCTGAGACAGGGTCTCTCACTGAACTTGGAGCTCATTGATTTGGTTAGACTGGCTGGCCTCAGGAATCTTCCTTTCTCCACCTCCCCAGTGCTGATATTACAGCCTTAGGCTGCGGCCTGGCTTCTTACCTGAGGCAGAATGCTGATGCTGCAGCACTTTATCAACAGACCATCTCTCTAGCCCCCTAGATTGAATATTCTTTGTTTTAAAGGGTTTTTTTTGTATGTATGAGTGTTTTACCTGCATCTGTGCTGTCACATGTGTGCAGTGCCCATGGAGGCCAGAAGAGGGCATTGGCTCCTCAGGAACTGGAGTTACAGAGGTTGTTAGCCACCAGGTGGGTGCTGGGGGCCAAACCTGAGTCCTCTGCAAGGCAGCCAGTTCTTTTAACTGCTGAGCCACCTCTCAGGCCCCTGGATTGAATATTCTTCAAAACCCCATTTGATATTTACACAAAACTAATCCCAGGTTTATACTGAAAAAAGCTAAAAATGTGATACTTAAACAGTTGACCCCCTGACAAATGAACAAATTGCTCTTGGTACTTCCTTTGTGTGTGAATGGCAGGTTAATTCTTGTCACTCACTTTCCTCAAAGGGTATCTGAAAATGCCGGAAGGAATATCTGTAGCCCCAGCATTGGGCATTAAGAACACAGAGTTTTGGGGCTGGAGAGATGGTTCAGCAGTTAAGAACACTGACTGTTCTTGCAGAAGACCCAGGTTTGAATCCCAGCACCCATATGGCAACTAACAACCGTCCGTTAACTCCAGTTCCAGGGGATCCGGCAGCCTCTTCTGTCCTCCAAGGGCATTGCATGACACAGGTACACTTACCTACATGAAGGCCCAACACTCATACATATAAATTAAAAATAAAATATTTTTTTAAAAAAAGAATACAGTTTTATTTTGGGACAACTGAGGATAGTAACTATAGTGTGGTTTGTTCGGCTTCCAAATACAGATGTCTGAATTCATATTTTTAAAGTATGACAGTGAAGGGAAATGTAGCTTTTTTTTTTTTTTTTGGTCTTTTTGAGACAGGGTCTCCCTGTAGCCCCGGCTGTCCTGGAACTCACTATGTGGACCACGCTAGCCTTGAACTCACAGAGCTCCGCCTGCCTCTGCCTCTGCTGGGATTTAAGGCATGCACCACCATGCCCGGCCTGGAAATGTAGCTTTTAAAACCTACATTTTTCCACATATACATGACTTGCATATATGGTTATAACTAAAGCTCTTATAAGACATTGTTTGGCAAGTTAAATCTTTTCTTCAAAAAGTCAGCCAACATTATTTTGGAAAAATTTGAACAGAGGGTATGAATGTCGTTTGATATTTTCTCCCAGAGGGAAAAAAAAACATGTAGATGATTTAAAATTTAAAGATGGGGACTGGAGATATGGCTCAGCTGTAAGAGCACTGGCTGCTTTTGCAGAGGACCTGGGTTAGGTTCCCAGCACCCACATGGCGTCAACAACCATCCGAAACGTCACTTCCAGGGAATCCAGTGTCCCCATATGGCCTCTGCAGCATTGCACAGAGGGTGCATTTACATACATGCTGGCAAAAACAGTCATACACATAAAACAAAAATAAATAAATCAAAAAAATTTAAACCTTAAAGTTTAATCAATCATCAACATCAATCTTCTATTAAAATTCATCTTTGGATGTATGTAGGCAATAATTATTTTTACTTCATTTCACAATTTAAGCAACTGATAATACCCAAATAAGACATGTACATGTTAAAAAAATCTGAGGTAAATTGAGATCTTGTGAATATTTTTGTATCATTAAGGCATATTTTCATATAGTTATCATTTTATCTGATTTAGTAAACCTAATATGGGTTTATATAGACTTTAAAATATACATATATGTGTGTAAATGGATATGTGTTTAATAATTACTGTTTTTTTCCAGGGGAATAATAAATACTTCATCTGTTTCTAAAAGATAATTTATGCCAAAGCACTTAATCTAATCCTAGCAAAATAATATTTGGTTAATGTTTCTACTTTTGCGTAGAGATTCAGACAAGTTAAAATTTAGGGTATTTGGAGCTGGAGAGGTCGCTCAGACGTTGAGTGCTTACTGCTCAGTAGAAGACCCAGGTTCCTTTCCCAACACCCATATCAGATGACTTAGAACTGCCTGTCACTTATTTTCCAAGGGATCCCATACCCTCTGGCCTCTGCAGACATCTGTACATACGGTACACATAAACTCGTGCATGTCTACACACAGCACATAAATAAAAATAATAAGTAAATCTTTTTTTTAAGTTAGTTATCATGTGAGACCTGTGGTATCCAGGGAAACAGATGACACTATCGTAATCTGGAAAAGGAGCAAGAGAAATGACTAGTTTATCATAGAAAATGGCTAAAGAAAGATTTCAACCATCTCGTTAGGTCTAAAATATATCAAAAAAAAGTGTCCGTTAGCCAGCACTGAGTACCCACCAAGTCCAGTGATGATGCTAGTCCTGTGGCCATGCCGAGCAGCAGGGCAGAGGCTTTGTACGTGCCAGGAACAGTGTTTGCTGTCACAAACCACACAGGCATAGGAAAGGTCCACACCAAAATGAGTAAACAGTATACAGAAAAATACTCCAAAATGGAACAGGGCCTTAGTAAACAGAAATATATTTCCCTGGTGGAAGACAGTGTGTTATAAATCTGCTATAACTTAGCGGATTAGCTAATTCCCATAATGTTTTAATGAAAATGCCAATGAGTGGTACATAGAGAACTCTTGATGGAATGTTCTAACAGACACAGTGCCTCATATGTTCAGATATCTGTCAGTCAGAGGAATCATGCCCTTACAGAAGCAGTGGGACTGCTCTCTGACTTTGTGCTGGGCTGGCCTCCCAGGGTCTTGTTGCCCACACACCTAGTACTATAGTTCATTCCAAACATGTCCAGAAGATTTACCCAGGTATTTTACCAAAGCCTTCTGTGTTCATTTCAGGGCACTGTGGCCACAGCTGCCTTACCGGAGAGTGGATCCTCTCTTGCCCTGAGAGCCCTGGCCTGGGGCTCTCTTTATGCCTGGTGTGGGGTCGGCGTGATCAGCTATGGAGTCTGCAAAGCTTTAGGAGTTCATAGTGTAAGTAGCCAGTCTTGTGACTGGCATCTGTCTGTTGGCTTTGTGCTCTCTCCTTTCCTGGTTATCAGATTTACATATAGTTTGATCTCTATCTTCAGAAATAATGGCACAGAATATGACTAAATTTTAACCAGTATAGAGGCAACTGCTTGTTACTAGTAACTCATAAATAACTGGTTAAACTTTTCAAATGTAATTAATGACTGATTCATAGCTAATGTCATAGCTAATGTTCATTCTGTATAAATTGGTGTTAGATATTTGTTTAATAAAATTATTAATTTGGAACTACTTTCTATAGTGTTTGACATTGACATATAAACATCCTTGTAAAATAAAATGTTTTAAAAATGAATGATCTAAATTACTAATGTTTTGTTTGCATGTTTTCAGGGGGGAATCCTAAGCACCTACGTGTGTGTGCGTGTGTGTTTATGTCTACATATGTATGTATATATAAAATGGATACCCCAAACTAAAAATTATACATTAAGAATGATTGGTTTTGGGCTGGATATGGTGGTGCATGCCTTTAATCCCAGCACTTGGAAGACAGAGACAGGTGGCTCTCTGTGAGTTTGAGGCCAGTCTGGTCTACATAGCAAGTTTCAGAACAGCCAGGAATACATAGTAAGACCCTGTCTCCAAAAAACAAAACTAAAGAACTATTGATTGATTTCTTTCTTGTTCTGATAACTGATGGGCTCTGTGGACCAAGCTGCACATAATAGATGAGAAAGAACAGTAGTTTGCAATAGCTGGCTAGCTGGGGGAGGCAAAAGTGATGAAATGAGTTTCTTAATATATTTCAAAGTCAGCAGGGATTTGTTGAGGGTGATATGGGGCATGAAAGGAAAAAAATAGAGCCAAGAATGCCTCTAACCTTGGACATGAGCAGCTAGAAAATAGATGAGGACAGCATGACAAAAGCAGGTGTTGGAGTCATATGGGGGCTCAGTCTGGGACTTGGAGCTTGAGCATCGTTGGGTGACCAATGGGAGAGTCAGGTGGCAGGTAAGCTTGAGATTCAAGGAGAGGTTCAAAGTGGAGACAGAAGCTTAAGAAGACTCACCATATGTAATGTTAAAAACCAGAAGACCAGTTAAACTCAGCAGAGCAGTGAGGGAGGGAGAGAGGAGGTCCTTTAGTGAAGGACCTTTAGTGGAGGTCCTTCAGTAAAGAAGACCTTTAGTGAAGGTCTAAAGTTAGAGAATGAGGAGAGAGGGCCCAGGTAGGTTGAAGAGGAAACAGGAGCCTGAATGGTGATGTGCAGAAAAAACAAAAACAAAAACAAAAACAAAACAAAACAAAAAACCCCACACATTTCAAGGAGAAACACTGTGTGGCACACTAGTGAGAAGTCATATATGATGGACATGGAGTAACCACTAAGTGTAGCATGAAATAGCCACTAGGGAATGGTGGAAAGCCTGACTGGAACGGGTTTGGAAGAGAACAGGAGAAACTGGAAGCAGTGGGTACCCACAAGTCTTAGGTTTTGCTGTAAAGCAAATGACACTAGCTAGGAGTAATGGAGGAGCAAGTTCACTATTGTTTTTGTGTCGGGAATTGATAGCATGTAGTGACAGATGACTGAAGAGAGACAGGGAAACTGCCACAGCCACCGTATCAACATGGAGCTTTTTCACTTTTCGTTTAGCCGAACTTGGGCATTTTGTACTTTTTACTCATAGACAAATGGCAGAGCTTCTCCACTCTCTGGGCCAGTCTTTACTTCAGAGTAGCGTTGCTGGCCACTATTTCTCACAGTGCACTATGGACCCCTTAGAAAAGTCAGGAAACCTATGACTGGAAGGTTTTTGATGATTATTGGTATTTCTTCAATTTGTCTCTTGCTTCAGACATTGTACCATTGAGTTACTTGCCTATGATCACCTAGTTTTCTTACCAGCAGAGTCGAGCTTGAAACTCAGTTCTGACTATTTAGGACCTAGGTTTTCCCAGCTTTACCCCACCAGCTAAGGTGGGGGATAAAGTAGATGGAGGGGCTGAGGAAGAAGAAGGGAGTGATGAATTTGGTTTTAACTCCAGTCCACACAGTTCTTGATTAGCTCACCAAGCTTTCCTGGATCCTTTCAAGAGACTCATCTCTCAACGTGATTGGTGTCAGTCTTGTACAGGACTGGCGATTCTTCATAGACGAGCAGACCTGGTGAGCTGTCACCTGAGGCAGAAAAATGCTAAGTGGAGTGGTAAATGAAAAGAGTGATCACTATATATAGCAAGACAGCAAGTATCTGAAAACAAGTGAGAAACTGTGAGGAAAATATGTCAGTAGAAATAGTCAACAGGAGCTGGAGAGATGGCTCAGCAGTTAAGAGCACTTGGCTGCTTTTGTAGAGGACCCAGGTTCAGTTCCCAGCACCCACATCAAGTGGCTAACAACTGCCTGTAACTCCAGTTCCAGGGCATCTGACTCCCTCTTCTGGCTTCTGCAGGCACCATGCACATAGTGCACATTCAAACCAATGGGTGCACATACACACATTAGAAAATGTCTTTTCACTTGTACATCCATGTTTGCTGCTGCTCTTTTCACAATAGCTAAGAGATGGAAGCAACTTAAGTGTCCCTCAATTGATGAGTGGACAATGAAAATGTGGTTCATATATACGATGGAGTTTTACTCAGCAGTAAAGAAAGATGAAATCATGAAATTTGCAGGTAAATGGATGGAACTA